TGAATTGATTGCTGAGTCGCGCAGAAGCCAAGCGCGCCTCCGTAATCGCGAGTTCAACTTAGCGTTTGGGCCTGATGAAAACTATTGAAACCCCCCTTCGGTGGAATGCGCGTAGTTCGTTGGCTGGGAAGATTGCTTGCCGGGTGGCTAGTTGCCTGTGTGATTGCTTTTGAAGCAGTGTAGAGTCGTTGCTTTAGCTGAAACAGCGGGCTGCTCGGTTGCAAAGAAGACTGCTTGGCGAAACGCCAGTCGTTGTCCAGATGTTTGTTGAAGTTGGCTCGCTTCGCTTTGTCGGGGCCTTCGAGCGCAACCCCGGTTGTTTTCATGTTTGCTTTGGGTTCCTCTAGTTTCAGCTATTTTCTTGCGACCAGTGTGTTGTTTGCCTGTTTGCGGCTTGCGTTTGTCTAAAGATTGGTTGAACGGGAGCTGTCTGCTGGCTCGAGTGTGTTTGCAGATCATCTGCTCGGCGAGGCCATGGGCGGCTTCGCTCGACGCGGAGCGAAGGGCAAGGGCAAGGGCGGCATGCAGACTGACGAAAACAACAACAGGAGCATTCGGAAAGTTCACGTCCAAGTGACTGCTTCGCAACTACGCCGACTCGTTCTTTGGCGGCGACGCTGCTTGACCGTGGCTACAACAGGTCGCTGATGCCCTCCGAGCTGGCGGATCTCTTCTTGTTCGTGGGTGAGAGCGCTCTGAAAATTGCTGCGCGCGATTTTGGGGCTAACGGCCTGCTGTTTGACGTCCTTGAGCCGCGTGCCGAACTTGATGTTCTGGTTATTGATTTCGGCGACGTTGGTCTCCAGGGCGCCGCTGGATTCATTGGCGCGCTGCCGGAGCTTATGTGTGGCGCACAGCAGTTCGTGGCTGTGCTATCATCGTGATAGTTTTGAACCTATGAAGAACGCGGGCGTCGCAGAGTCACAAGGCATTCGGACAAAAAGGTTATCAATTCTCGTTGGTTGTGCAGCGAGCTGCTGAAACGCCCCTTCATGGGCGTCAGCTTGGCCTGCGCCTGCGTCAAGTCCGGAGCGCTGTTCTCGCCGCGGTTGAAAGCGAGCGCAGGGACTACCGGGCCGCCGTGCCACGTTTCTACGTACAAACTATGGAAACCGTTTACTCTAAAGACAGGTTCACGACTTGACATGGGCTTCACATTTTTTGCGCGTTTCATGACATGTTGCAACACCCTTGCGCTCCTTGGATGGATGCAGAAGTCTATCAGGGAGCTGTCTCAGGGGGGGCGGGCGCCCAGAAGTCTTTGCAAACAAGTTGGTCACTTGCTCCATCCAAACGCGCCCCCATGTGTGGACTCAAAATGAATTGGAACGTTCAATAGCATTTTAGTAAGGACACAGTTCAGCAGTTTTTTGTATTAAATTGGAATCTAAAAGGGAGCAATATTTTTGATTGAAGAAGACTTAAATAGATTGTATCTACGCGGGCAGAATTCCACTTGCTTGTGGACGTAACATTTAAATAGGAGTTCCTTCCCAAACATGACTTAAGTTTGAACAGGTTTTAAGCCTTGGAAAAACTATATAACATTTCATTCTCGAGCATGGTTTAGATTGGACGTGGCAGACAAATACTGGCCAGCATGCCCAGACTAACGGGGGTTGTCTGGAGCTTCTGGTTTTCTTGGCATGTGCCGGTTTCAGAGCTTCTATCTTCAGGAGATTTTGCATTTTTTTGGGCCTGTGCCTTTTTCAGATCTCGAAGCTGCAAAAAATATCATTTGTCTAATGTTTCTTGCTGTGTGTGCTCCAAACCACTGTAAAGGCAGTGTTTTCAGACAGAACCAGACTTCCGCCCCAAAAATACAACGCTATAAGGAAAGACACGATCTAACAAACACACTGTATTTTACAGTTTTTTAGACAGGTGGAAGAAAGAGCCACGCAGAGTGGATTTGTTAGTTTCGAACTAGAATGTAATGGTGGGCCCTGGCAAGGGCGGGGTGACCATGTATATCCATATATATGTACAGACACGCAACTCCATGCAAATTCCAACCAAGCAGAAGTTAAGCCCAACGTTGAATGGGAATTGTGTGACCGTCACATTGGCGTGCGCGAAGTGCATTGGAGTATGCAAAGTGCACTTTGGCAGCTCGAGCTCCAAAAGCACAACTTTTCACCACAAGAGTAGTGCGCGAAGTATGCTTTGGCAGCTTCAAGGCTGCAGCAGCCCTATTATTTGGTTATTATTATTCCTACTTCATGTCCTTGCGCAGTTGCATGTACATGTTAACTCAAGTGTTGTGCATAATTCCATGTACATGCTTTTGAAACATATTTTGCAAAGCAACTATCTCAGTTGTGTTGTGTGTCTAAGTTGATTCAAACATCGCCAAGAACAAGTGTTGAAATTCAAGAAAAGGAAGGATATCCAGTTTAAAACGCTTTCGAGTTCAAATCAAATTGAGTTTTAATCGTTTGCAGTTTCTTGTGCATGTCAATAATCAACTGGAGAAGATCGCTATTGTCATGGCCAAATGAACTTGCAAGCAAACTCAACTTTGAAAGGGTTATTGTCCTTAGCGAACTCCATGTGGTTTGAACCAAGCAAGAACTGAGCCAAGCCAATGGCGCACCAGTGTTTACAATCATAGATCTCATTCTTGGCAGACATGCTGTAAAACGCAGCATTTTTCATCATTTGCTCAGATCGTGTTGCCCTGGGTCGAAGATCGAATATACAAGATTCCACAAACATCTTTTAGAACATCCTGGACCCCCAAAAGCTTGACAGTTTGTTCTAGACTCATTTAGGATTGGCCCCCTTCATTGAAGAGATTGGAGATCTACCAGGTTCTGTGTTTGAGAATCTTCCATCCTGGCCAGCCGTCAAGTCTGCAAAAAACCTGTTGTAGCGGTGTCAACATCATTTTTTCCCCTGGCCAAATGCAGGCAGTGCAAGTGCGCATCCACAATTTGATTCTGACACCGTGCACTCCCGGTCTGCCTTTTGGATTTCTCAATCCCGCACTTAGGGCAATCCAGGATCTAGATTGAAGATTCTCTGACAACTCGTTTTGGATTTTTTCAATTATGTACTTAGGATGTGCTAGCACGTGCTAGGACATCCTGGATTGAAGATTGAAGATCCAAGATTCTCAGACTACTTGTTCTGGAAATCTGCAATCCATCCTTAGGACAAACTAATACGCGCTAGCACGTGCTAGCACATGCGCACCCTGGATTGCCCTAAGTACAGACTTGCAGATTCCCAGAAAGGATTGTCTATGTACCGATGCTTGAATTTAAGTCTAAAAAGGAGTTCAGTTTTAGAGCCTCATTTAGAAGCTGGAACGTGTGTTTTGCATGAATTTTTACAGCCAAAATGTCCTTTTCTGGCGAGTATTCCAGGGGGGGAGTACCATATATGTATATATTTGTATGTACGGTCTTGTGTGCCGTGTTGTTCCCTCTCCCACTCAAAGGTATGGTCCCCAACCGATTGGTTGAGGGACAGGTATTTTCCACCTATCTAACTTATTTATCCCCAATTCGGGTTTCCAACGAAAATTTGCACAAATGCCCCCCATCCCCCCCATCCCCCCCATCCCCCCCATCCCCCCCATCCCCCCCATCCCCCCCATCCCCCCCATCCCCCCCCCCCCCCCATCCCCCCCATCCCATCCCCCCCATCCCCCCCATCCCCCCCCCATCCCCCCCATCCCCCCATCCCCCCCCCCCCATCCCCCCCCCCCCATCCCATCCCCCATCCCCCCATCCCCCCCATCCCCCCCATCCCCCATCCCCCCCATCCCCCCCATCCCCCCCATCCTCCCCTCCCCCCATCCCCCCCACAATTTGGAGGCCTCCATGGACCCCTCTCCCCAGGTGCGGGAGCTGCTGTGCCAGTTTGGCGGCTGTGCGGACGCGGACGTGAGGGCCTGCGTCCTGGCGACGCTGTCAGCCGACTGAGCGGAGAAAATAATAGCGAGTCCGCCGCCAGCAGGGCTGCCAGGAAGCGTCCCCCTTTTGAGTAGTGGAAAAACAATTTGGAACCATTTCGGGCCAATCTTAGTGGGGCCTTACATTAGTAGGGCCTTCGCATTGGCATCACAGCGGTCAGGGAATCAACAGCGGTTTTCGGAATGAACCTAGGGATCATGGTGCCTAGGATTCATTGCGTTCCAGCCGAACACCAAGTTCTTTGGGGTTTTCTTGAATTCTGCCCACAAGCAAGAATTCCGGTTGGTTTCCCTTCGAATGCCGACCAGGAGGGTGTGTTCCTTTTCGGAGACTAGGACGTTTTAGACTAACCCCTGTTGAAGAAACCTGGGGTGAAGTGTGCTCCTGTGGGAAGCATGCCAAACTTGTCCCACAAAGGGGTTAAAAAGGTGGGAGAATTCATTGGTCGAATTGGTTTCATTTTCCCCACTAGGGGATGCCACCCTGTTCCCTTTGGTGGCTTCCAAAAATAGTCCTGGCTTTCCTGTAATTCCCAGTCGCTTCCCTAAGAATAGTGGCCCTGAAAGGGTGGACAATACTTTTTCCGAAACGCCGTAGCACTAAGATTGCACTGCCCGAGATGGTTCCAATTCCGAACCGGCCTCTGCAACCGGGAGTTTGCTCGAATTTCCTACCGAGCACCAGCAAGATGGTTTCGGTCAAAGCCGGACTCGTTCAGATAAAAGTACCGGAAGAGTTGGTTGAACCAATTTCTTCAAAGAACCGCGATAGGGTCAAATCAGTTCCTTTAAAGGAAGACCAAAAGGCTGAAATACTCTACTGCTGTTGGGTTGAATCTTTAGACTCTAACTTTTTGGATAGCCCTCATATATCCTTTTAACCCGCAACAAGCTCAGCCTTTTTGCTGGGGGGGCTACAGCACTCAAGTTAATGAGGAACCATGGTAAATGGAAAGAAGGACTACAACCTGCGGTCCATATTTCGGTGGCTTCTCTTTCTGTAGGCTTCACATGACCCGTCGGGAAGTGGAAAACATCCGGTTCTCCGCCCTGCAGCCACCGGCTGCCCACACTGAACCTGCCAACAACCAGAGCGTTGTGGGTTGGTGGTTCGAATTTCAATGGTTTGAGCATGCTCGAAGAGGCGGCTGCTTCACCTCGCTTTGGAACCAGTTTGGTTTTGGCCCGGCCTATGGCCCGGCGCTTCGCCAGGTCTCGGCCATCGAAGGCGCAGGGGGCGCGGTGTCGGATCCCCACGGACTCCCCGCGGAGTTTGTGCGCGCATTGGCCAAGTCCGCGTTCATGACAGGAGCCGGGGGAGCGGGTTTTGGAGTGGGTCCCGAGTGGGCATGGGTGCGCATGGGCGCATGTGTCTTGGATGTCAGGACTTTAACTTTTTGCAATGGGTTTTGTATTAAGCCACTAAAAGTCAAACTTTTAGCGGGGGAGCAGAAAGCAACCGAGGGTGTCTTTTGTTGAGGTTGCCCCCTTTTTTCGATGGAAACCGAAGGGAACACCCACCATTTTGGAGGTCCAAAGCAAAGGGGACGCCCAAATAGGCAGGGCAAATCCTGCTTGCCATCCTCCTCTGTAAGACTGGGACCGGCTGCACCTGATATGGGTGCCAAAAAAAGTGGATCCAGACCATCGATCGGAGGGTCAAGCCCACGATCAGAACGGCTTTAGGGCCCTTTGACGGTCCAAAGAAAAAGACGCGCCCAAACAGGCAAAAGGGCTATTTCAGGGCTCCTTAAAAGATACATTTTGCCCAGTTGAAGCATGTTGCTTTTTCAACGCCAAAATAGAGGGACACCACCATTTACAAGGCAATGCTCAGGTGTATAAGGCAAGGACCCCTGTATTCATTGGGAGGCTCCGAACAGCCCACGAGTCTTTCAGACCTCGATCAGAACGGCTGACAGAAACCCCCCGGACTGGCAGCTGCTCCTTTGGATCTGCCTCTCAAGGGATCCTTAGCCTCCATTTGCTGAAATGAATATGTTGTATTTTATTTTCCCCTGTTGGTGTTAAAAGGAATTCATCACTACTGGAAGTAAATTTAAAATTTCCTGGGGCCTTAACCAAATGGAAGTTCGGGTACCAGTTAGGTGATGAATCCCAATCCTTGCAGGGTTCCATTCGTCCCGACGGCTGGATTTTGTCAGTGGGTGGGACACGGAAATATCGAAGCGTAGCTTCCTTCCGAGCTCCGACCATCTTTTTTCACATCTTCAAGGGGTGAATTGGCATTGGTCTTTGGACCGAATCGCCCCAAAAGCACCTTTTGGAAACAAATGGGCTGGCCTTTTGTGATTTGGACACCGCCAAAACTTGGAGTTTGGTTTGCCTAAGCCACGCATATTGGGGTGCCCTCAACCAAGTTTCATTGAACCGGCCATTGGTTTTGTCAACCCCTCTTTTCATTGGGACAACCAGAGGATTTGCTCCGGGCGAATCATTTTTGGTCCTCTAAAAAAACGGAGGCTCCGAAAACGGGGCCCTTTCCGAATGACCTTCCAACGTGACCCGGCGCCTTTGAACGCGCAAGGAGATGGCGAGTTCACCGAAGGCTTGTCCGAGGCCCGAGGATTTCGTCGGGTTGCAAGGTGCCCGGGATTCCTTTCGGCTGAAGAGGAATTTGCCTGGAGTTTCGGAAACGGATGGGTTCCACAAAGGCACCGAGGGAACGGATGAGTTGGTTGGGAGAAACGGGTGGCTTCCCATTTTCCGAGGGAACTCGTTAGTTTATTGGGGGCTGGTTTACGTGCGTCAAGGATCTCGTTTTGCTCGGTTCCCTCTAATCTTACGGCATGGCCTGTGGGCACCCTCATTTGTGGAAGGGCGCGACCTGCAAAAAAGGCTTTTGTGGGTTCGATCTCTGCAAGGGACGGATTTCGCCTCGGTAAAGCTTTTTCGCAACTCGAAAACGATTTGGCGTTGCCTTTTAACTTCTGATCCCTCCTTGTCTGGTTCAAACACATATCGCTTTCTGCAGTTGAGGGAATTTCCACTGAAGGGGTTTTGCCTTGATTCGCCTCGATTCGGGATTCGGGATTCGGGAATGGGTGAATCAGAAAACGGGAGGCCAAAAAGCTAAGGGCCCCCGACTGGAAGAAAACCGTCCTCCAATGGAGTTGTTTCACGCCTACAAAATTAGGGGGGTGGGGGGGTGGGAGGGGGTTCAGCCAGATTCGGGTGGGCTCTTGCACGGAAACAGAATGGGCACCACCCCATTTTACAGTTAAACAGTGAACGACAACCAAGATTCTGGGGGTATCGGTTCTGGACTTTTGCTGGCAGGTGAAAACAGGTTTTGCTAGTCCCCTTCTCCGTCCGCTCCTGGTAATATTGATTGGAACAGGGGCTGTCAAATTTTGCCTGGGGGTGGGGGTTTACCCTTCATCATTGGGGTCAGTTTGGGGATGTCGCTTGAACGGACGGGATTCAAAGCCAGAATCTGCCGGCTATTTTTTTCTCTCCGGGGTGGCTTCGATCAGTTTGGGGATCGATTTGTTAGATCTGAGGGAACGAGCAAGCCCAGATTCGCCTTTTCTACCTAAAGGGGCATTGCACTTAGTAAGTGGGTAATAACTTAATCACCATGGTTACAACCCACGAAAGCCATGGTTTTACGTCTCCGTTCAGTGGGTTGTGACCAGGCTTACGAACCACTTGCCTGACGCACCGAAGCGATCGTCCCCAACCACCCCCCAAACCACTACCCCCCAAACCGCTACTCTCGAGGATTAAATGGGATATACAACCTACATATCCCAATTTGGTGGTTTCGGGGTCAATCTTCCAAACCATCAGCAGCAACTTCCTCTGAGGAGCAGCTGGACCGACTGCTGGACAAGCATTGCGCCAGCCAGCTGGACCTTGTTTGTTTTTTTGGGAAAGGGGGGGGGGTGGCGGCGAATTTTGCAGATTGTTTATTGACATGAGGTTCGGTCAGAAAGTTCCAGGTTTGTCCATGGTCCATTCGCCAGGGACATACACAGGGGGACTCACGAAACTTCAGCCACACAAAACCAGGGCGCGAGCCGGAATTGTTTGATGTCCTCGAGGAACAAGCTATTTGACAGTGCCTATGCAAAATATACGGCACGCCTCGAATGGCTGGGTTCGTGTTGGCTTCCCTTAAAAATGCTGCAAGTCACTTCGCTTGCGGGAGCAGGCATTTGGAGTAGGCTTCGACCGGTTTCACAAAGTCTCGCAAGGGGTTGTGCCATTGCGGTTGAAACGCCCTTGTGCTTGTCAAGAAGCATCAGGAGGGTTCCGGGGCTGTTGGGGAAACTTGGGCTTATTTGTTACAAGTTTTAAGTTAACCCCCACTCTGGTACTTGAAAGGGCAGGTGGCTTACCTTTTCTCAGGCGATTCCATGGAAGCTAGGCCACCGGAATGGACTCAGCTTCCATGGAATCGCCTGGGAAGGTTTCGGCAGTGACGTGGGTTGTGAAAAATACAGAGCATGGTTACGAACTCCATTTCGCACCACCTAAGACATGGTTCCTTAAACGATACACTTTGCCCAGTTGAAGCATGTTGCTTTTTCAAAACCAAAAAAAAGGGAAACCACCATTTACAAGGCAATGTTCCGGTGTAAAATGTAAGGATCTCTGTAAGACACCCTATGATTCGATTCGATGAATGCCAACAGAGAACGGATTTTGTCCATCCACAGTATGGCCCCATTTGGACTCGGGTGCCGTGCCGCCTCAAAGAAGCGGGACACCCAAAAATGCCTCGATCTTTTTTTTTGACAATCAGGCAGTTGCTGACACACACTTATCAGCGCATACGTTGCCGGCGGCTTTAATCTGTGACGACCCTCCTGATGTTGTGCTGCCGTCAGACGACGGTCGCGTTTCGAGCCATCCATTTCGCTTGCGCATGTGCTCCGCGAGGAGCAAGCGGCGTCTCTGGCCAAAGATCCCACCGCCGGAGACACGGGTGATGGGAACCCTTCCGATTGATGCCCTAAGTAGGACCGGGGGGGAAGTCTGTAATGGCAGTACGTCGGATTTATCCGAGTTAACAGCAACTGTCCGCAATTTATTCAGGATTTTGTCCGACACCTAGGTGTCGGAACCCTGTGAAGATGGGGGAACTTCCCTGAGTGAGAACGCGGATCTTGTGGTTGTCCATGGCCTTGGCCAAAACCACAGCCTCCGTCTTGCCCAGCAAAGAAAATGGCCCACGGTGGTGCACAAGGAGTTTTTAACGGGGCAAGGTAAATGGTTAAGTTTTGTGCTTTGATGTACCTAGCCCCCTTTTGTTGTTTTTGAATTGCCTAGCAGGCCTTGCCACTGACCAGTTCTTCATAAGGGACGCCCTGACCAACTTGCGAAACTTCGGCAAAGCTTTGGCCGTTTCTCGGGGTGTCGGAACTGGTGTGAGTTGTGGCAAATACCACTCCACTCGCATTCCAGACGAGGGCATGGCGCCTTGAGCGTCTTGTGTGCTTGTTTAAACAGGGCTCCTTAAAAGATACACTTTGCAACCATTTGAAACATGGCTTTTTCAACACCAAATAGAGGTTGAAACCACCATTTACAAGCTGCAATGTTCAGGTGTATAATGTAAGGATCTCTGTTAACTAACCTTGGGCGTGTGTTGGAAGCAGTCTGTTGGTTCCATGATTTGAGCCCGTGCCAGGCTCCGGAAAAGGGACGAAGGAAAGCACGGATGCCCAACTGGAAACGTAAGTGAGCCAAACACATGCAATCACAAAGCCCTGGTAAATTGGAATGTGGGTGTGGCTCAAAATTAACCAGGAGGGGTTACGCAGGTTTTGGCCATGTTTCCACTTACCAGGGTTCTATTTTGGTACCGGTTTTTTGAGCCACGACCAAGTATGTAGTAGGTAACCAAGGGCTTGCCGCCCCTTTGAAAACCAAACGGAGCATTGCGAAGGGTTCCCTACTACATTGGTGAACGCCCGGGATCCACTCGGATTGAGAGAGCTCAGTTTTTTCCACAGGCTTGCCTAAAGCAAGACTCCTTGCCTTTCATGAGGTTGTATAAGGTCCCCCCACAGCCATTTGCGTGCATCTCCCTCGTGCCGTTGCGCGAAAAGCCGTTTTCTTCTTCTTCTTGAGCCACGTCCTCAAAACCGATTCGGCTAGAAGAAGGTTCGTCCCAACCATGGGTGCCGCCACCTTCTTAAGTCGGTTATTGTTGGGACACTTTTTACATGCTTGCTTGTTGTGGTTCAGTGGTTGAAATCCAAATCCACTGAAGTGCTAAAATTTGAGAATTTTTGCTCCCCTTTCAACGTCAACCAAGGTAAGCCCGGTGCAGCCACCTTAAGTCGTTGAGGCCAACCTGAGATGCTCTTGGGACAAGCTCCGGGCCGTGGCGCGGGTGCCCGGTGCGTCGTTTTCGATCCTCGGGGAGGATTTCTGGGAGAACTTGCAAGGCGTCACTGTGCCTTTTTTGTTTGTGCACCATGTGCACCCCGAAAATAGAGTTGACTCCATGTGGGTGGTGTTTTTTCTTCTTTTTTTTCTTGTGTCTTTTCTTTTGGGCCCTCTACAAAATAGAGGTTGTCCTTTTATCTTCCTCTTTTTTTTTTCAAACCAAGAAAGGTTTACAGCAGCCCCTTGCCGTACCCCGAATTGGTTTGGCGAGCTCGGTGGGAGGGAATTGATCTTGTGCTTTCCTTGCCAAAGGTGAGGGAGGGGAAAAAGGCCCCGCCGGTGGTAAACACGTTTTGGACGTGCCCAGTCTCCTTTTGCATTTTTTTTTTTTTTTTTTTTTTTTTTTTTTATCCGGGGGACATAGGGGGACTGTGAGATGTGTGATAGAGACACGTCTTCTCTCAGAGCCCAGACTCGTTTCAGAGAATGGCCATGTCTTATTTTTCTAGGACAGTCCCTCGGGAAACAAAGATGCCGGAAGGCGGTGAAACCTTCAAATCCAGCCTGGGGGTTCAGTTTCAAGCATTTTCTCTCCATGGTTGAGTTCATATTTCACCTTCAGGATTGTCAACATCCAAATTGGGTCCCCTGGGCAAGGCCATTCTTTTTCCGGGAATCGGTTGTGGTTTCTCGGGTTCCGCGGAAGGCGGGTGACATCGAAACGGCCAGTTGTGCTCTTGATAGTCGAGAGGATCTGGGGTTTGAGGATTCGAACAGATGGAGCTTGGATTCGCTGGCAGGGAAACGGCCATGTTTCAACACACGTTCTGGCAGACGGGCGCGCACTGAAAGGGAATCTGCAGTCACATTCGTCAGACTGCTTGAATTACATGCTTCGGGCGGTAGCAGGGGAGCCATGGTAAGGTTATACATAGTCCATGGCAGCTAGGGGTCACACCAGTCTCATCTACACCTTGCTTGTCAAAGCGCAGGGTGTTGCAACCACTCAGGCTATTTGGGGTTTCAAGAATCACTCGCGCGTGGATTCTGGGAAGCGTGGTGCGTAGGCCCGCGGCAATCTAAGATGGCTTTCACTACCCCCTATAAGCAAAGGCATGCTATGTAGCGGCTGTATATCGAATTGTTCCCCTACCTAAATGGGGCGATCGATTCGGTACGTCAGGTAAGTCGTGAGAGTAAGCCAGAAAACCATGGCTGATACGTGGGTTATGACCATGCTTACTAGCCACTTGCCTGACGGACCTGGGTCTCAGAGGCATGAGGAGCGAAGGGAAACCTCTTCGGTCGCCAGCTGCTTGCATTGTTGGGGTGTCGGGGGGCGGGGGGTGTCCGGGGCGCGGGATGATTCGGAGTCGCCTCGCAGAAAGTGGGATAGACAGAATCCTGCACCACCTAAGGAACCTGGAATGGTTCGATTCCCCAACGTAAATAGCAACAAACGTTTTATTGTTTCAACCATGGTTTCATTTCGTGCTGCGAGAAGCCGATTTCGCAACCATCCACAGTATAGATATTGGCCATGTTGATATTATATTTACCAGTTTGGAGGTCGCCCACTTCCCTCGTTGTTCAGTGTAGGCCCAAAATATATCTTGAACTCCCAAAGGGGAGCCCCAAATTTGTGCTTCCGCACCCCACCATTCCAAGACTGCCCTTGATATCCCAGAAACCGCAGACTCCCTGACCGAATCCTGGGGTCGTTAGCCCGAATTCAGGGGTCATTTCCTTGCCCCATTTCAACAGGTCATGTGCAGACTCCAGTGTTGTATCATTTTTTTCCCTTTTGGACACCAAAAGGAAACTCTCTAATGAGTTAATAGGTGGACAAACATCTCCACCCAAGATTGGCATCTGGAAATATTTGGCCTGGACATAAATTTGGGTGTTCGATTCGCCAAGTGAGTAAGTCGTTAACCCAAGTTCTGACCTGTTTAAACATTGTCTCCGGTTCAGAGGAGTTAACCTTAGCGGGTTCACCCAGGCTAGCCACTTACCAAGACTAGCCCTCAATTCTTAATTGCTATTTATAAACCTTTTTGTTTAGTAGCCCTACTTGGATCCACGAATCAACACAAACTAATCAGCCTCCCCTACTTGGATCCAAAACCCGGATATATTTCACTTCTCAGTCCCCACCCTCCCTTGGGAGCGCCCAGGTTCAGGAAGTCCTGGAAACTCCTCCTGAGGCGAGGCCATGAAACTCCTCTGATCAGGGTTCCACTTTTCGACTACCCCAAGATAGGCTTAAACCCCGGTGTTCCCATGTTGGGGGTAAACCATCCCTGGGTTTAAGTCTACCCTGGGGTAGTCAGAAAGTGGAACCCTGCATCCGATCAGAGTGCTTAGACCTCGGAGATGGAAGGACTCGATTTGAGAGAAAGTCAGCCCCACTCCCAAGCAACAAATGGACCTGGGAAGGGGGGGGGGAGAGGGGGGGAGGTCGCCAGGGGGGGGGGGGAGGGGGGTGACCCCTTAACATCTCCATTTGTGGTGCCTGTTTTTGATATAGTCGATGCCCGTTTCAAATTGGTGGTGCCGCCAACTATCCACCAGTTGGCAATCCTGAACATGTGTTTTTTTTTTTTGTTTTTTAATAAAACCCTCTGGGGTTTCCCGAAAGAATGAACGACAAAAACAAATTGCAGGTTCCGTTTCAGAGCAGATTTTCCTTTTGGTACAAAGGTAGCATGGATAATTGTCGCAGAACTGCCCATATGGGTGTGTCCTTTTTTGGAGTTGGTACCTATCTTTTGTGGTGTCAAACAACACTCCCAAAGAACCACCTTCAACCATTTTTGGGGGGTCCGATTCCAAAAGCAAGAAGCATCAACTTGACATGTCCGGAGCCGGGTATGTACTTCCGTAATCAGTGTGGACCCGTTCGCTACTAAACCAGTTTGCAGGTTCATTTTTGGAGGTGCCGCCCAGCAGCTCGGCGCTTACTTGCGCTCCATTTGCAACCCAGCAAAGATCCAATGGCGATAGATTTCCTTGAGTCAGCAATAAGGAACACATCACACTTTTTTTGTTTTATGGTTGGGAACACCCCCTACTAAACCCGATCAACCTGGAATGCGGCGTGATGCAGGTTTGATGGCCAGACATATCAGTGGTGATGCCGGCGATGCTGGCAACGCAAGCCAGATGCTAATCCTTTCCATCCCAGCTTCCGAGTTATGCGAGGTTTTGGAGGAAGCGTCAAATCAGCAAACAAAAGATGGAAGCAGCACACTGGCGATGCTGGTGATGCTGGCAGCGTGTTGCAATGCTGGCAATGAAGGTGTTGCTGGAAATGCTTGTGATGCTGGTGATGCTGGCGGTGCTGGCGATCCAAATTCAGGATTCCAAGACCGGTGACCAAAGTAACCTTGTTCACAGCTTCTTGGCTACAATTCGGTTGCATCTTGAACCTTGAAATATTTTGAGAAGTGAGTCACCTGGAAAGAAAGTGTGGTTTTGTCTGGTTTCCCCGACCAAGGCTTCCCAGAAAAAGACCCCCCCCTCCCCCAAAATGGCTGTCAAATCGCCCTAGAAAAAAGACGACTCGTTTTGGACAAGGGCCTGGAACAGCTTTTTCTGCAAACCACCCCCAGCGGTTTCCTTTCAGCGGATCCCCAGCTTTCCCAACCCCCCTGCGGATTCCCGACTGAGCGCCCCAAAAATGGCGGTCGGAGGTGAAATTGACATGGGGTGCTTGTTCAGCGACCCTCTTCCTTCTTTTTTTCTTTTTTTTTGGGGGGCTGGTGAACAAAAAGATAGATGCAACAGTGACCCAACCATGCCAAAAACATAAAGCAACACCAAAAGGGGTGTGTTTCTTCTTTGTCCTTGTTGTTTTTTTTGGGCGGGGGCATACTCAAGCGACCGCGTTTTTTGGGCGGGGGAGGCAAGCGACCGCGTTTTTTGGGCGGGGGAGGGGCTGGGGCTGGGCCAGGAGGGCGACATCGCCGGGGTGGCCAACCGCCTCTTGTTGGTCCAGCGCCTGGAGAGAGCCGCCGAGGCGCGATCGCGGCCTCGGCGGCTCGGGTGGGGCGCGTGAGGAGTTGGACCCCCTGAAAGAGGCGCAAGGGGTGGTCCTTGTGGCCTTTTGTCCCTGAGAGGAAGGTCAAGGGGTGGGTACCCAAAACAAAAGGGCGACCAACTCCAAAAAGGAACCACAGATGTTTGAGGCTCACTTTTCACAGAGAAGCTTGCCCGGTTGCTGGGAGAAAACCAAAGGTTTTGGTGGATTTTCCATGAGAGAAACCGGTATGCCGCCCGTTTTAATGCCAAAAAGAACACCCTTGAAGGGGCGATGGGGGGTTGCTTAGTAAGGGCTTAGTAAGCCTGGTTATAACCTACTTGGCGCTTGCGAAGCTGCCCGGACTCCGTGCCGAAATGATGCCAACAAGAGCTGGGATTCTGAACGTCAGGGCCGCGCGCGGACGGCTCTGTCCGGGGGAATTCAGGTGGGCCCTATAGCTGTCAGTGAGTCAGTGATGCAATTGGGATCGTTTAGCAGCCAGCAAGTGATGTTCGCACATCCATGCCCGTTGTGCTGAAAATTCTTCAGACACTGCTTATTTGTCGACAGCCCTGGATGCTGGTAGACTTTGGTGAGGGTGTTTGTCCAAGGGGACACTCACGGTTGCTTCCCAATTATTGCGGGAGGAATTCAGTGTCGTTCAGAGTTCCATGCATGATGGGAGTGTAGGTGTGTCAACGTTAGACACACAATTATGCATATCTACTTATGTATCATGAACAGTTCTGGCGGTACTTTGGTTGAACTAGTCCTAGCGTTTCTTTCTTCAAATTGGAAACAGTGTGATCTGCATCGCTGTGCACGTAAGTACATATTTGAGGTCGATGTTTCATATTTTCGGGACTTGTCCGAAGGTGTTCAAGCACAACTCCAGGGGTAGTGCTGGGTGTCGCTAGCGCGCAAATCTGCTCTTGCCACGGATGGAGGGAAGCATCTGCACTTCCCGCTCCACCGATGGCACGTGAACCCACCCCCCGTCAAGCCATCCTTCAACCTTGGAGGTTTTCAGACTCTCGGACAAATCAAGGCGTAGTGTTTCGGGACAACTGGAAGATCCCAGGAAACCAGTTGGATACCCTGTCCACATGGGAAACCTGACGCGTTCCGTGGAAGACGACCTCCTTCCGTTTTTTTTTCTTGTTCCCGGGTGGGTTCCATGGCGACGTGGAGGTACGTCCGATGTCCTTCCGGGATTTTCTGGGTTCTCTGGTAACATGGCCTTCCCCGGTTCCAAGCCGAGCCGTCGAGTTTTTTCTCGGCTCCCTCCTTGGCTCGATGCGCGTTGCGACGAGACGTCGAGAGACGTCGACGCCATAGGTGTCCCGTTTGGTTGATTCGGTGGAAAAACAGAGGGCGATTCCTTGTTTACCTGGGGTTCAATCAACTACCAGGGCCATCTATTTCCCATCAAAAAGGACACCTGGACAGACTCCTGCACCAAGTTAAAACCATGGGACACCATGGTTGGTGTTTTTTTAAGGGAGTCATCATTGTTGGTTCCCTGGTCAAAAACGCGTGTTTGGGACCGTCCAGACGGAGAGGGCGGTGGAGTCGACGTGGTCGTTTTCGGACGGGTCGACGGAAGTAGGACGCCCACCACATCTTGGCGGCCGCCAAGGAAGCGCAGGAGGCCTCCAGCGCGGCGCCGCCACGCTTCTTGGGGAGCTTGGGCGGAGCTTGGGGTTGGGGGGGGGTTGGGGGGTTGGGGGGTTGGGGGGGTTGAGAAAAACATGCATCAATGAAAACCCAGGAAGATTTGGAGAATTGAACCCCATGCAAGAATAATGTCGCTATTAAGGGAAAGTGGGAAACAAAACATAAATATCCATGTACGGATCCCCTATGGCGGCTTCGGCTGGCTCCCTCACGGTTTCTTTGCAGCTCCCCTACAGCTTCCTCACAGCTTCCTCACAGCTACGAGTTCCCCTTTGTCCCGGTGAAAATTCGCATGGACGACGCGTAGCACAGGCACTTCTGGACGGACATGAATTGGCGTTTGCGCAGGGAGTGGCCAGGATTTGGGCGGAAGGCGTGGCAAAGGACTTGACCACGTGGCCACTGGATGCAGCGGTGATGTACGATGAGCACGACAATGACAACCATCTACCCTCCTGTTCAAATGCTGGCAAACTCATGATTGGGATGCACCCACTTGTCCCTACCCTCCGAATGGAATTTCATGTGGTGTTGGGGGAGGTTGCGCTTGGATTGGATTTGGATTTGCAGTTTTGGTCCTTAATGGTTGGGAAGCAATCCCCTTAGGTTGTTTGTTTGTTTGTTTGTTTGTTTGTTTGTTTGTTTGTTTGTTTGTTTGTTTGGGGTTTAGTGGTTGGGTTTCCACTTAACGCACTAAACGTCAGTCACTTTTCGCAGGGACCAGGAAAGAACGGACAGCCCCAGGATAGTAAGGGTTGATCGGGGTGTTTACTGTGGAATGTTCTCAAGCCTCATGAGCAACGATCGCTTTTGTGTCTTTGACGTCGAGTCGAGGTTTTAATGGATCTCAACTGCGTACAAGGCCTGGGTGGTTCCTGTGAGTAAAAGGCCCACACAAATGCCAAAGGGTGGGTACACCATTTTAATTCCGATCGGTTTTGATTGTGACTCAGCCGAGACCATGACGCGAATTGACATACCCCTTCAGTTCAGCGGGCTCCCCCAGAAGAAAGGAGAACCACAAGGGGCTCTCTAAGAGCTGGCGCCTGGACATTGGGGGCCAGAGCCTTGCTTAAAAGCCATGCTCCCGGCATTGTTCAAACAGCCTCTTTGCGGACACGACTACTTAAAGACGCAGGTATAACCCACTTATCATGGTTATACTAGCCACTGACGAAGCATCCTGCCCCTTTCAGTATGTTTTTCAGAGCACCAAATCGAAGAAACCAAAAGCCGCAGGGCCCACTCGGGTGTGTCTTTTTGTGGGGGACCTCTTGGTTTCCCAAAAAGGGGGTACCAACTGCAAACAAAATGCCAGACCTCCAAGTTTCCCATGTTCCTTTCGCTTTCCCTTTTTTAGCGTTTCGTGCGTTTTCCGGGGTACTCGCCAAGTCAAAGGTCAGCCCCCCCGCCTTTTTGGATCTCGCGGAGCTCCCGGCCGTCGAGGGATCGGATGCGCCGAGAGGCCGAGAGCTCCTTGGAGGCCTTGGACACGGAGAACTCCACGGTGGACGAGGCGCGAAATGGCGCGCGTCGCGTCGCCTGGGCGGTTTGGGCGGAGCAGAGCTGGGGCGGATGGCGCGGGTGGAAGTAAATTGAAACTGACCCAAGAGGCAAAATTTGACATTCTTGGCAGCACGCTTGGGGGGTTGGCGCTTTGCTTCGTGCATGTCCTTTGTTAGAAAAGGGCAAGCACCTTTTAGGAGTAAACTCAAGTTGAAAACTCTGGGAGAAACTGCCCAAAATTGGGAGTTCCACGGGCTGGACTGTGTGTGAAACAAAGTCGCAAGTCACGTGCTCCCGACTTGCGCTTTACGTGAACCTACGTGTTTGACTTGATCGGAGCAACTGAGGGCAGTGAAGTGTGGAGTGGACCGCCGAGAAGGGCGTTGCTTCTGCCCCAGGCCCCCCAGTAGTGCCCTTTTACCGTTTCTTTTTCTGGGGAGGGTTCCCCTACTAAAATGGACTACAGAGAAAGAATAGGGTACCAAATTATTCTAACCTCTCTACTGGAGGTCCTGAAAAAAGTTGGTGCCTAAACCAGCTCATGGTGGAACGAGATCAGCCGAGGATCCCTTTCCTGAATCCCAGCAGTGTCGACTTGTTCATTGATTTGGTCGAGAAAATCGGTTGGGCGAGTCCTCGTTTCAATCAACTACCAGGGAAACCCATCTATTTTCCCCCAAAAAGGCATCTATGAATGAATCTGTGCATGAACAACGGTGGAGAATTCGTACAGATGCCATTGGCTACATTAACCAAATTACCACTGCTTCACGGGGCGGTACTCACTAATCTTTTTTGCACATACAATGTATCGCAAGCACATACATGCATACTACATACCTACATACGTACGTGCATACATACATCCGTACGTACATGCAGGCAATCATGCAATTTTTCTTTTTCAACTAGACATCTATATAGCACCATCCTTGTTACAAGTGTTCTCAAGATCTCCATGCTTCTCTGCTTCCGCCAGAGACACGTCTTTGAAAATGCAAGTCGACCTGACGTGTGGAATTCAGGGCTTTGGGTGCCAAGCAATCAGAACCCACGGACAACAAGCTCTCAAAGCGACTGACGCTCCAGGTGGCCGCGAAGTGGTGTTGCGGTTATGAGTTGCTTTCCTGCAGGGCCTGATGTCGCTCAAATATTTTATGTTTGTCACTTTGTTGTCCTTTTTTGGTCACTGGCCTTTGTTGTTTTTACATGTTTTTCATTCTGCTTAACGTGACGGGCAACTTTGTAGAGCCTAGGAGAGAACGCAGGTTTCCAGAAAGGTTCTTCCCCCAGTAGCAGTTACGAGTGCCATGTATCTAGAGAGGATACCCGGGTGGGTAATGTGAACCTAGCCAGCTGTAACACCTTCATGGTAAAATCCAGATGGCTGGGACATGAGCGCCAGAGGAGCTGCTTTTTCCCACTTTGGGGGTGCTCCCCTGTTCACATGAACCCGAAAACAGGGGTTGTTCAGGAGAGTCCTCAGCAGTTTTGGGGTGTTGAGTCACTTTTCTATTATTTACATATTCAAGGGATTGGGGCCCAACAAAAAGGTGACAACTCATTTCTTGGGGTCCGACTCCCAATTTTTAGGATGATCCATGCCCAGCGACCTCCGGACGCGACCTTTCGGCTCCAGCCTTCTCGGCTTCCATGAAGGCAGAAGGGCAGAAGGCAGTGGAATCTTTTTTCCAGGTGGGTGTGGCTCAAAATTAAACGATCGGAGGGGCAAACCGCAGGTTTTGGCAACCATGTTTCCACTTCCCAGGGCAACCCATTTTGGAATTTTCCGGTTTTTTGCGCCACAGCCAGGTGCAACTGGGATCCCCGGACTCCGGCCTTGATGTGTTGAGTGCTGGGGAGCGACCAAGTCCAACTTTTCGTGGTTGGATTGTCAGACCACCTTTTGTGGCGGGGCTCCCACCCCGCGAATAAGAAGCGGTCTGGGGTCAACAGTGGCCTCGACCTTCGGCCGCCCTTGCCAAGTTGCGCGCGGCGCCATTCTCTCCTCCGTTTCCATTGGCCCCACGTGCGGAGGTCTCAGTTTGTGAGGAGGTGGGAGGGGCATCCAAAACGCACGGACCAACACACAGAAGTCGGCTGTTGTGAGGTTGTTCACTTCTGTGAAGGAGATGGCTTATTGGGGTTGCACATGAGCCTGCGCCGGGAACTTCCTCATTCAGGGATCCTTTGCAGAAAGCCAGATTCACAAGGCGGAATGACGTGCCGGGTTTGGAAAAGAAGCTGCCTGAAACGAAGAAGACATGCTGCAGCGTAGCCATGTACCTGTGCGAAAGAGTGGCCTAGTTCTATATACTTTCATTTGCTTAAGGATACTTTTTTGTTTTTAGTTTCCCTTGTTGGTGTTTAAAGGAATTTATCACTACTGGACTTTTTTTCTTTCTTTTTTACAGGGGTCTTAGCCAAATGGAAGTATACATCTCAAAGTGCCTTGAGGCGAATTTAGGAAGAGACCTCCCAGGCTCTCTAAGGACTCAACCAACATTTCCGTTCCCACAGACTGAGCGCTAGTTTGTCATGGCAGCAGAAGCGTATCTATGGCTTGAGGCCCATTTGGCGGCCTCATGGTCGATGGAGGGAGCCACTTGGATGTCCAACCAACGTCAGGTAGCTAGGTTATGACCAGGTAAATGGGGCTTTTTTTTCAGAACCGTGGCTATGACCTACTTACCAAGTTGGTTGGACATGGAAGCAAGGGGCGTCTCTGGCTCCACGACGGATCCTGGAAGATGACTGACAAGCAAGTGGACAGCGGGAGGCATGATCCTGGAGAAGGATGTATGATGCCCTCGCTGCAAACTCTGTGAAATGCCAAAGGCGCAAGCTGAAGGCGGCACGAGATGAAGGAGAGGTCGGGGAGGGTATGGGTCTTTTTGCCCGCGTGTTTGCCCACCGAGGATACTCTTTTCGGCTTGGTTTTAAGGGACACCAAAGGAAAACCGCAATTTTCTTGAGGAAATCTCCCAACTTCGACAGACCCATATTGCCAGCACCCGTTTTGGTGGGGGGATTTGACTGAGATCTCGGTCTCAGCTCCAAGTGAGGCTTGTTCAAAATGTGCAAAGACCGTTCCTTGGGTCTGTCCTTTTTCTTGCGGGTGCCCTTTTTAGATGGTTTGAAAGGGAAGACAACCGCTGAGTTCGGTGGGCCTCACTTGAAAAAACTTGTCTTGTCACCCACATATATATAGAAAAACATATATGTATATATATATATATATTTATGCATATATATATATGTATTTATGTTTACACAGGTGCTCATATTTCTTTGCGTCATTTGGAAGAGTTCGAAGGATTGGTTTACGACAAATCCGGCAGGACAGCTTGGTGGTTCGGGTCATTTTTTCTCCAACCAAAGCCTTAGAAGGGTGCCTCCGCTGGTTTCAACGGGCACTTGGCTTCCAGTTGCCAGCAGCGCTAGAGGAGGTCTCAGGAGATCTCAGAAGAGATGCTGCGGCCTGGTCGGATCCTGAGCACTTGGATGTTCGGTCAAGTTTCCCTGGGGTATACCTTACTAATAACAAGGGAAACTCCATTCAGGGGGACTTATAAGCAGTTATAACTTGGGTTTTGCTAACAACTTGCCAACTTGCCCGAACACTCAACTCCATGCGGCGGGGGGGGTGTTGGGGCACTTGATCCTAGCAGGCAGAACGCCTCTTGAGTCCAAAAAAAAGTCATGGCCAAGAGGATGAGCAAATCGCCCTGACGCCCGGCCGACACCTCAAGCAGAGTTTTCCTGCAGCCCAACCCCCCCTGCGTTCCGATGGCCTTCGTACTGGCCGCCCCAGCTTCGGCGGCCGCGGGGAGAGCCCCCGTCTCCGTCGCCGGGTCGCGCCGCGCTTCCGCAGCGCCGCGCGGCGCTCTCGCGCGCCGCGGGGCGAGCGTTTCGTGGGCGGCGGCCTCGGCGGCGGCCGTGGCCGCCTCGGCCAAAGCGAGCCGCGCGCGGAGGTCGCGGGTGGCGCGGGCGGCGGCGGAGCAGCTGAAGCGGCCCAGGGTGGCGGTGGTCGGGGCCGGGTGGGGCGGCCTGGGAGCCGCCAAGGGCCTCTGCGAGAATGGCTGTGATGCCGGGGGCCCAGGAAGAGGTTTGCGGTGGGAAAGATGTTGAGGTTTTGGCACAGCGGAAAGGGCCTTTGAACTTGAGTTGCCCCGGGATTGTGTTTTTGTCAGTTTCATTCAGGGGTAATCTGCAAGGTCGAAAAGCAGTGGGATCGCCTTTTCGGGTTCGTCGTTTGGTTTCCCTTCAACAGCCAAACGAGGTCTGGACTGTGCGCAAAAAAGTTGTTTGCCTTTGGTTCCCTTTATCAAGCCTGGGGTCGCCCCAATTTTCTCTGAAAGTTCCCTTCAGAAGCTTGGGGTCGCCCCAATTCTGGTTGACAAGGCCCGGACCCCCAAGAAGAGCAACCGGCGCCGTTGGGTTCCCCAAAAAACCGCCCGCCAAAACGGGCTCCGGGGCACCAGGTCACCATCTTCGACGGTGGGCAGCCTGGAGGCTCCATGACCACACCCTCGGGCAAGCCCTTCGAAGCAGGCGAGAGCCTTGGAGCCTTGCAGCCTTGGTGTTTTTTTTTTCCAGCGAAACCCTCCGATTTCTTGGGCGATGTGGCATACCCCTTTTAAACAAATAGTGTGGATCGAGTCCTGGGGGCCCCTTAATAAACTGAGCTCACCGATTCGGATATGAAGGTCCAGTTTTCACAACATCTCCTACTTAAAGTGGCGATCGAGTCGGTAGCTAGTAGGTGGTGAGATACCTCCCTGAACGGAGACTTCGAACCATGGCTGATATGTGGGTTATCTCACCAGGCTTGCTAACAACCTGACGCACCCGATCGCTCCTGAAGTACCTGTGAGCTTGACCGGGCCTTCCGCTGGGTTGCACGTTGGAAGGATATGGTCTCAAAATAGGGCGCCCCAAACATGGGCTTCGAAGTCGTCCCTTTTGGTTTCCCTTGACAAAGCGACCCCAACAAGGGGAGCCACAAAGAAAGAGAGACCGGTACAGGACAATTTTGCGCACCTCACATCTGCCCGTAAAGCGATGGTAGGAATCTAAGTCCCAGGT